CGTCCCCTCTCTACCCCTTTCCAGGGGGGTGAGAAGAGCTCCCCCTGGCTCTCCAGGCTCCGTCCATGCAGCAGTGAAATGAGGCAGAGATTGGTTCATCAGTGCAGTAGTCTCCATAATATATAAATATAATGTGCAGAATCACCTGTGGGCTACCGCAGTGAATGAATGGATTGGGAAGATGCATAAATAGAAATAACAACATTTGAACAAACATAAAATGCAACGAACATTTAATTAAGTTCCTGGGAAAACAAGGATGTGGTGAAGGCTGAGAGCTGAGCCGGGTGTGGTGCCCACCGGGCAGAGGAGGCGGCTGCTCTCTGGATGGCAGGAGCATGGGCACAGGGACGGAACCTGCTGGAAGGTTCTTGTACCAGCCTTGGGAGGAGGTGCAGGGGCCCAGACCAGTAGGAGGCAGTTGAAATAAAAAGGCAAAACAGCCCTGGCTGGTTTGGCTCAGTAGTTAAAGCATCAGCCCATGGTCCAGGGTTCAATTCCCAACCAAAGGCATGTACCTGGGTTGCAGGTTCAATCCCCGGCCCCTGTTGGGGTCATGCAGGAAGCAACCAATTGATATCTCTTTCCCATCGATGTTTCTCTCCCTCTCCCTCCCTCCCTTCCACTCTATCTAAAAAATCAATGGAAAAGTATCCTCGGGTAAGATTAAGAACTAAATAGACAAATGAGGAAGAACCATTGCAAGTGTCTGTGAAGAGAAATGGCAAGGTTGGAAACGGGTCTGCAAATGGCGAGACCGAGGAGTCGGGGAGTCGGAGAGGGGTGTTGGTAGAGAGACCGGGAATTCGGGCGATGGGGCTGACAGGTGCTGGGAGGAGCCGAGGTGGGGGCGTGTCTGCCTGGAAGTGGAAATTGAGGGCGAGAATCTGAACAGGAGGTCAGGACAGGTGGTCCTCACCCCGGGCCACGTGTACCCTCATCGAAGATGGGAGACGCTGGGCAGTGGAGAAATCTCTGAGATCTTCTGTACCAAGTGCATGAGCTATGCTGGTGTGCTCTGAGAACTTCCCTGGCATCGGAGCTCTGCCATGCGTCAGAGCAGGGGGTAGGAGAGGAGGGAGTGTTGTCATTACTCTCGGGGCAGGTGACACTTCAGCTGATGACGGTGACCCACAGAGGCGCCAGCACCGGTCCTTGCAGGAGGGAGCAAGGTGAACACACCCGATTTGGCTCCTGTCAGCTGTGGTGGTTGTGGCCCTTCCTCACGGCGCTGCGGGGCCCACCCAGGCAGTGGCTGTCATCTGTCTGTTCCTACCCTCTTGGTTTTTCCTCCCCAAACACCGACCTCTGGCTCCCTCGCAGGATCAGGTTTGACTCATCCTTTCAAACTCCCCTCGATTCCGCCTTCATCAGAGAACCTCCCGTGGGCCCTGGTCGGAGAGAGTTGCAGCCTTCTCAGCAACCACAATACCTATACCGAGGCCACTTAATATTTATAACGCTGTAGAGTAGAGTATAATGAGACACGGGCAGTCAGTAGGCTGGCGCTTGGGTGAAATAGTTCGTCTGTCGTGTGAAAGAGAGATTTGCACCATTCAGCAGCTTCTCTTAGCAAAAACCCAGTGTTCTCCAGGGCTGAGGGGTGACTCAGGGCCGGGGTCTGGTCAGTGCTCCAGTCGGCGTTTCTAGTTCGTTTGGTGGATTCTGGGGCGGACTCTATGTAACAGATAAGCTCAGGGTTGGGAGGGGCCATCTAGTCCACCTGTCCCCACAGGTGAATAGGCATTACCCCTGCCTGGTGGTCATCCAGCCCCTGCCAAAGCGTGTCCAGGGCCGTGGAAGGAAGGCGTGGCTGCCGGTGGTCAGGGGAGGTGACGAGATGAACACTGCTGACCTTCTGATACTCACCCTGTGTCACAAGACAGGTTAAACGGGCCACGGGAAGAAATAACTCAAATCTCAGCAGCTTAAAATAACCCAAGCTTCTTGCTCACTCGTGCTCCGTGTCCATCACCGGTCACCCTGGGGCCTCTCTCCTTCACATATGGCTTCAGGATGATGGAGAACCCACCACCCTAAATGCTTTTTGCTCTGTCAGAGGGGAGAGAGGAGAGAGAGACCCCGGAATGCTTAGCATTGGCCTTCTCTGCTCTCAGCCTGCTCCCGCCCTTCAGCCCAGCCGAGGGCGGGGCCTGGAAACGGCCTCCCTGTTCCCAGAGGCACGGGGGTGGCCCTGCCCACCTGAGCCCGGGGCAGATGGCCTGGCTGTTGTCAGTTGGCCCGGAGGAATGGTTGCCCTCCATTCTCCACACCGTCGCAGGCAGGACAGCAAAGCCCTGCTCCCCAAACCCCCCAGAGTCCCCCCCGATGAATTGGAGGGGCCTCTCCCACTTGGAAGGGCCCTGTTCCGCGACAGTGAGAGGCCATCGGGAGAAGCCCCCCAGAGAACAGGATGACTTCTTCAGCTTTTCCCACCCCTCCCCCAGCCGGCCGGGTCTTCCAGGACCCGCTGGCCCCCGTGAAGCGGTTTTCCTCAGCGTGGTGACAGTGACGCATCCGCGGTGCTCCGGAGGTTGCGGCTTCCACTCTCTATCAGCCCCGAAGAGGGAAGAAGCGGTGGTGATTAACAGGGAGACCTGAAATCCAAGCTGTAATCAGTCAGATTTGTCACTGGAGCTGGAGACAGGGACGGTGTCTCACGGATGACTCAGGCCTAGGGCGGCTGTCTCGAACCGTGTTAATTATCTCCGTAAGCGGCTGACAGGGATGGTTCGGAAGGAGGAGGGGTGTGCACAGCACAAGGCATGTCCCCCCCACCACCTCCCCCCCGCCTCCTGGGCTGGCATCTCCAGTTCCGAGATGGGGTTTTCCCTTTGAACCAGAGCAGGCAGGGTGGTGCCTTGGCCGGTGCAGACGGGGTGTCGAGGGTGGCTGCAGTGACCTGAGAGGAGAAGCAGTGGGGACACACCGTCCCCCCCCCCGGTGGCTGGGGCTCAGAGGGGCTGGCTGTGCCCGGTGCGCCCCTGAGGTCATGACACTGGAAGTGTGGCTCTTTCCCATTGATTCCAGGGTCTCTGTCGAGAATTCTAAGACGTGGGTCCATGCAAGTCATTCTTCCCTGGACTTGAGAATAAAGACAATGTCACTGAGTTACAAATGCATTTCTCATATGCATGTTCCTGCACGTATGTAGTGGGTGCCCCCCCCCCCACCCCCGTATTTAGCGTCTGGGGCAGTCTAGCTCATCCGACTGAAACGGGAGATGAATGAGGCCAAAGTCACGTTCCGTACCCAAGTGAAGCGGGTTGAGAGCTGGTTTTTCACCCAGAGGGGCTCGGTTTGTGACCACAGGCTGCATCCCTGAGGTCAGCGGGCCATGCTGCGACATGTGCCATTGGTCAGCTCAAATCATTTCATCGATGTGTTAAGTCTCTACTAAGTGCAAAAAAGCACTTGGCAAATGGAGATGAGAAAAGACCAGAGCTGGGCCAAGACAGCTTCTGGACGAGTGGAGCAGAGCCACGTATGCTAGGAGGTGGGACGAGGTCGCCGGGAGCCCCCGGAGAGTTGGAGAGCACGCTGTGGGGCCGAGTTGCAGGGTGGGGTGCGGTAGGGTGGGCAGAGCTTCCGTTAGAAAGTGGCGTTTGATCCCTGGCTGGTTTGGCTCAGCGGTTAGAGCGTCGGCCTGCGGTCCGGAGAGACCCGGGTTCAGTTCCCGCTAAGGGCATGTACTTCAGTTGCAGTTTGTCCCCGGCCCTGGTTGGTCGTGCGGGTGGCAGCCACTCGATGTGTCCCTTTCACATCGATGTTTCTCTCTCTCTCTCTCTCTCTCCCTCCTGCTCTATCTGAACAAAGAATGAAAAAGTGTCCTCGGGTGAGGATAAAAAAAAAAGAAAGTGGCGTTTGAGATGGGCCTTAAAGGATGGTTACAGAGATTTTGCTAGGAAGGCTAAAGCATTCAAGATGGTCTAAACACTACACAGAGGCTAACACACACACACACACACACTCCTATACCACTGGGAAAGATGATTTGTTGTTGTTGTTTTCTTTATTGCTTTTAGAGAAAGAGGAAGGGAGAGGGAGAGAGATAGAAACATCGATGAGAGAGAACATCAACTGGCCGCCTCCTGCAGGCCCCCCACTGGGGATCGGGCCCACAACCTGGGCACGTGCCCTGACCAGGAATTGAACCGGCGACCTCTTGGTGCGTGGGTTGACACTCAACCCTGAGCCGCCCCGGCAGGGCAGGATGGCACATTTGTGTCCCTGTCTCCAGGCTCCTCACGCTGGCCCAGAGGCCGTCTTTCTCTTCCGCAGTCACTTTGATCTGTGACAACTCTGATGTCTGAATATGGAACACCCTTGGGAGCGCTCACAGTCCTCTGAAGCTCTTTACCTGTTTTCACCTGTGTGGGTGGATTGGGGGTTGAGGAGCTCAGTCTTCTTGCTGGTCACCTTCCACCATGTGACCCTCCTTGGCCTGGACTGTGCCCTTCCTCCAGAGGCGAAACGCTCCCTCTTTTGTCCTCATGACATGTTCCTTCTCTTGGGTTCTTCTTGATCCACCGCCATCGAGCAAAATGCTCTTTCTCAGCCCCCCCCCCCCCCATGTTTGACGTACACGCACGTTCGCTGTAGGTTTGTGAGTTCCTCTAGGAGGGGACACGGGACCGTAAACCAGGAGCAAGGTGCCTGTGGGATCACTACAACCCCTGTCAGTGTTTCTCCTGGGGGTCCTGCCTCAGTCAGACCTCACAGGGCTGGACGGCCTCTTCCAGTCTTCCAGTGGTCCCCCACGGTGACTCCCAGAAACAGTGCCCCGTTCTGGTAAGTAGGGTGCTGAGGCCCTGTGTCCGTGAGGGACTGGGCATGAAGCATGGCTCTGGTACCATGAAGAGGAGAAACAACCAGAATGGGATCACAGTTCTGGGCAGTGACGCCGCTGCTCAGGGAGAGGCTCTGTGTCCCCAGCACGTTGGAGGCGGCGGAGGTGCCTGTTCTCTGTCTAACTCAGCCTGCGTCTGCTCCCTCTCCAGCTGGTGCTGCCCGAGTACTCCATCCACAGCCTCTTCTGCATCATGTTCCTGTGTGCGCAGGAGTGGCTCACCCTGGGCCTGAACGTCCCTCTGCTCTTCTATCACTTCTGGAGGTAGGTCTGCCTGCGACGGCTCTGGCGTTTCCCTCCGCTTCGTGGGCCCCTGCCCAGAGGCGATGTCCCCCCAGTGACCAGCCACGAGAGCCGTCCTCTCCTCTCTTCCCTTGGGAGAGGCTCTCTCCAGCGCCTTCTCCCCAGGCTGTTCTCGGGCAGCACGTCCAGGAAGGGAAGGCCCTTGTATAGGCTCCGCTAAGCACAGCCTCGCCCCACAGGGCAGAGTGAAGAGCGGCTACGGCATAATTCAAAGTAGCCCCAAAGTCGAAACAACCCCGATGTTTGTCAACGGATGAGTGGATAAACAATATGTGGTGTATCCTTACAATGCGTATTATCTGGCAATAGAAAGCAATGGAGTGCTGATACATGCTACAACATGAATGAACCTTGAAAAAAGCATAAGGCAAAGAAGCCAGTCACAAAAGGCCATTTGCATGAGATGTCCAAAATACACCAGTCTATAGGGACAGAAAGTAGATCAGTGGTTGCCTGGGGGGAGGGCGGTGGGGGAGGGCTCATGGGGACAGGTTTTGTTTTTAGGGTGATGAGAATGTTCCGAGATTTGATTCTGGTGGTGGTTGTACAACTTTAATATGCTAAAAACCACAGAATTGTATACTTGAATTATTTTAGTATGTGAATTATATTTTAATTAAAAAACAAATAAACAAATACCTGCCAGATGGGCTGGGTTTTCTGGGACAGTTCTGATTTTAAATATACTATTCTCTGCTGAGACCATGTCTCCGATCATGTGATTTAGACTTTGTGAAAAATACAGTCACCGTGTGGATATAGGAGGCAGGAAGGGGGTGGTTACAAAAGTAGTAAAGAATGCAGTTGTGCAGATAAGTTAACTACCCCTTACCACTCGCTCCCAGAGGTATAGTCCCCCAAACACCTCAGCAGCATCATTTTACCATAAAATATAGTCTGCACTTGGCTCAGCAGTTAGAGCATCAGCCCACAGACCAAAGAGTCACGGGTTCGATTCTGGTCAGGGGCACGTACCTTGGTTGCGATTCGATCCCCAGCCCTGGTTGGGGTCATGAGGTAGACAACCAGTCAGTGTGTCTCTCTCACATCGATGTTTCTCTCTCTCTCTTCCTCCCTCACACTCTATCTGAAAATCAATGGAAAAATACCCTTGAGTGAGGATTAAAATAATAATAATAACTATATATATATATATATATATATATATTCTGCATTTAGTTATGTCCTCAGTATTCACACCTTCATTTAGCAAATAAATAGGGAACACTTGCCACATTTCAGACATTGTGAGGGAGTCCGAGAGGAATGTAAAATGTAATCTCTACCCTAAAGGAACATGCGCCCCAGAGGCAGAGGGAAATCTAACGAGCTATATGAAGAATCCATGCAGCAGCGTAGAGAAGTGAGGGTTTAAGTTAGACTGGAAGAGTGAAGCTGGGAATTCTGGGAAAGCACATTCCAGGTTGAGGGACCAGCATCGGCAAAGGCTCAGAGGTCAGAGAGCATTGGCTGTGTGGGGAGCAGCAGTTGTTCGGTGTGGCTGGGCGGAGGGTCGCTGGAAGGAAGTGAGCAGAGACGAGTTGACAGACAGCCGGGGATCGGCGGGGAGGTCTGAAACGATGTGATGGGCAAGTTGGGGTTGATTGATTCTGCAGGGTTGGACGGCCCTCAGAAGCTCGGGAAGAGGACACAGCATTACCTAATGGGACTTTTAGGGAGGGCACCCTGGCAGCAGTGTGAAGGAGGGTTTAAGGTGACATTTTGAGGACAACTCCAGTTAGGAGGTTATGATGAAATTGCAGGTGAAGACATAATGGAGGCTTGAACCGAGTAGTGGAAGTTGGAATGGAGAGAGGGGAGGATTCATGGAGGTCAAGTGGACAGGCCTTGGCCAGTAACTGGGGGCAGGAAGTGTGGGAGAGGGAACCCCTAAGCTGGGTGCTGGGTGGGTGATGCTGCCCCTGAGCAAGAGCAGGAGAGGAGGACAGGGTTAGGCAGGAAGGAAAATGCTTCAGTCACATAGAAAGTCCTGCTTTAAGTACCGGTGCTCAACTACAATCTGAACGTAGAGAGACGTCAGAGAGTCACTGGGGGTTGAAATGTACTGCATACCCACCCGGGCACTTCCCACGCCTCCCCTCCCCCAGCGTCCACAACAACCAGGTGAGTAGGGCTCCATTTCTGTTTTACACACGGGGACACAGTGATTCACAAAGGTTGTCACTGCCCAGGGTCACTCAGCTAGGACATAGCAGGGCCAGAGGTCAGCCTCTGGATTGTAGTCTGAGTCCTCGTCACCGGGCACACGGCCCCGGAGTGCTGGCTCCTCTCTAACGGGCGTTTGCCCCAGGGTCCCTGGAGCAGGGTGCCGTCAGGCCGGGGTATCAGAGAGGTAGTGAATGTACAACCCTTGGTTTTGTGCCCTGCTCCTCGGGGCTGCTGCCCCTCCAAAGGCGAGCGGGAGAGGCAGCCGGTGCCTGGGACTTGGAATGGTGCCTTGGTGTGAGGGAGAAACACCGCATCTCCTTGCAGGAGCGACCTTGTCTTACTTCTTTTAAATCCCAGACAGGGTCTAGCCTCAGCTGGCAATTCATTCAGCGCTCAGAAAATGAAAGAACAAGGAATGAGGAGGGAGGGGTCCTTTAAAAACGAGGCTCCTTAAACGCCCTCTTTTTGTTCATTTCCGTTCCCCCCACCCCCTCCTCCCAACAGGTCCGGGCTGGTGACGGTTTTCCATGCAGACAAGCCCCTGCTGCGCCAGCTGTTTGCTTAAATAAAAGTAGAACCCTAGAGCTTTTATTCAGCACCCGTCTATGCAGATGATTTTCCTCCGTCACCTCATATGAGTGTCACTTTAGTCCTTTGGGGTGGGCAGTTTCATCCCCAGTTTGCAGATGGGTAAGTTGAGGCTCAGAGAGGGGAATGACTGACCCGAGGAAGGTCAGTCTGGTGACGAGTGAGCAGCAGAACCCTGGCTCTTCCCACAGAGCCACTTGGCACCCTGACGCCCTTGCCTCCACCTAATGAGGTCACCTGGGAACAAGGCCACCGCCAAAGCAAATGGGTTTTGAAATCTGCCTCTGGGAAGGGGAGCGGCGAGTGGCCTGGAGGACTCTGAGCTTGCCGATGTCATTGGATGTGGCTTGTGATTCCCTCTTAGCATAGTGTCGATGACAGGTCACGTCGGTGCCACCCTGGGAAGGGGAAGGAAGAGGGGCCGGGACACCAGCTCTGTGAGTTGCTATGTTCCAGGGATGTTCCTCAAAGCCAGCGTGATTAATCTGGTCGGAGCCCCTCTCCTGGTCCTCGTCACAGTCCAGAAGCACAGCCCATCCCAGAATCTCAGGAAGCACCCTGGCCTCCGGACTCCCTTGACTGGCAGAGAAGCAGCCGCTGAGCGATCTCAGCTTGTTCCCGTGACGGAGGCTGTGGCAGAGGCCCCGGGGGCAGTGTTGAGAGTGGCAATACCCTGGGGCCGGAGGACAGTCCCCCGGGCAGCTCTGGCCCCCGGCCTTTCTACTCCCAAAGGGGCGCCTGGGTGTCACCGGGCCCGAGAGTGTCTCTCCCCGGCGAACAGGGCCGGTTCCCCTTGAGCGAACATGGCATTTCGGAGCCTGCAGACTTTGCTCCTCCTGTCTCCTGTCTTCCACACTCTGTCTTTTTGTCACCCGGTGTCCCTCTGGGACTGCTCTCTCCCATCATGGCCAGCGTTCTTTTCGCTGTTTTGGGTCCTTCTATCGAGAAGAAAAGTACCTGTAAACTGCTCCACTGTAAACCCAGCGCCCTCCCAACCCTGCAGGATTTAAGAGGGTCTGGGTAGAGGGCAGTGTTCAATCCAAAGCAGTTAATGACTCAGGTAGAACGCGGGTACAGAGGCTTCGAGGCAGCTCCCGTCTACCCACTCCTGTACCCACAGACACCGTGGATTCTTGCTGTGGACCCCTGCTCCACACACCCGGAGAAAGGCCCCCTTCCAGGTACCACCAAGTGACATGTTTCCCTCTGTCAGAGCACTTTGTACGGGTGGAGTCAGCAGGAGGCCTGCAGATCTGAGTATCTGGAGAGCTTCTATCCGCGGGAAGACACTGGCTGGGCCCTTGTTAGCAGTTTCTGCTGCGATTGGAGCAGAAGGCAGACAACTGCTTAGCAGAGCTTTCTGGAGGGCAGCCCAGGGTCAGGAGGGCCCGGCCCAGGTGACCTCAGACGTCCCCTCCCAGCCTCGGAGCCAATGACGCGTGTCCTCCTCCCCTGCAGGTACTTCCACTGCCCAGCGGACAGCTCCGAGCTAGCCTACGACCCGCCGGTGGTCATGAACGCGGACACCTTGAGTTACTGTCAGAAGGAGGCCTGGTGTAAGCTGGCCTTCTACCTCCTGTCCTTCTTCTACTACCTGTACTGGTGAGTGTGCACCCCTCCCGCGGGTCTGATTCCCGCACAAGTGGGGGGTTTCAGGCCGCCCTCGCCTGCAGACACCCCCTTCGGGCTCCAGGGCAAACACACCCGACCGACAGCTCTTAGGAGACCCTCGGGAAGTGCAGGCCCGCTCCCTTCCAGGACACAGCCTTGAGCAGCGGTCAGCTCTGCCATGAGGCCACCTGCGGCCCTGGGTGCACAGCCGCATCACCCCTCGCCCCCTGGCCCACGGGTCAGCATCCTCGGGACCGCAGGAGAGACCCCGCGGCAGTCTCGCTTCACAGAGGGCCCCGTGGGTCATTAAATGCTTACACGTACAATTCTCCCGATATTACATAACGCCCTTCTAATTAAGTCAGACACGCTGACTTTGCAATTCTGTTTCGGGCATCTCCCCTCTTCTGATGTCTTGACTCGGAACATCCTAGCTAAGCGGATGGCTATAAACAGACCGTGTTGGGGTTTCATACCTCAGAGAGTGGCTTTGCTGGGAACGTCTCTTCCTTCTTCCTGTCCCCCTTGGGCTCATGTCGGAGGTGCCTCACCTGTCACCTCGCTATCCTGTTGATACCTGGGCGGGACATGCTACCTGCCAAGCCCCCCAGCACTGTCCCCAGAAGGCCTGGCTGGCAGTAGCGGGTGAGGACGCGGAAGGTGGGGTGTGAGACTCAAGGCTACCTCAGGGTAGGTTGGCCTAGAACAGGCTGGGAAAAGGCTGCATGTGTCAGCATTTAAAGATGGGCCAGGCTCGCCCTGGCCGGTTTGCTTCAGTGGTTAGAGCGTCGGCCCACAGACCAAAGGGTTGTGGGTTCGATTCCGGTCAAGGACACGTGCCTTGATTGCAGTTTGGTCCCGGGCCTCGGTAGGGGTCGTGTAGGAGGCAATCAATCGATGTGTCTCTCTCTCATCGATATTTTTCTTTCCATCCCTCCTACTCTATCTGAAGATAAATGGAAAAAAGTTCTTGGGTGAGGATTAAAAAAAAAGATGGGCCCGGCCCTGGTCCAAGAGCTAGCATGTACTGTCCAGGCTCTGAGCTCAGTGCTGTCACGATGAGGAAATGGGACTGGAGGTCATTAGACTGTGTTCCCAGGGACAGCTGATAGGGTCACAGCTGTAAGTCCCTCTCAACTCCGATTCCAAAGACTGAGCTCTTAGCTGCTGCCTGTCTCAGGAAACCTCTAGAAAGGTCTTGACCCCATGTGGTCTTTGGAGTTCCTGCATCACAGTCGGGTGAGGAGGGAATGCGTCTTAAAAATGCAGCTTCCTGGGCTTAGATCGCGGATGCAGAATTTTGCGGCTCAGCAGCTCACCTGAGGGCAGTGCCCGCCACCCTGGGTGCTGCTTGTTTCTGCCTCCTCTCCCCTCCCCATCCCGTGTCCAGAAGACTCAGAGGCCCTGGGTGGCTTTCCCTGGGCAAACTGAGGCTTGGAGGGGATTCAGTGATCCCCCCACATGCTTCCTGGAGCCGGGGCTTGGTACAGCTCAGGGTGACCTCCTCCCCCCTCCTGGGTGATGGGGTGCCCTGGCACATTGCCTGCTTTGACTGGGAAAGAGCCTGAGGGTCTCTGCAGCATGTCTGGAGATTTCCGAGGTGCCAGCAGGTTCCCCCAAGTCCTCTGAATCCCCGTCTGAACTCTGGCCTCTCGAGCTCGCTCGGGCTGGCTCCTGGGTGGGAACCCTGTCGAGGGGAGCCCAAGCCCTCTCGGGGACACGACTTCTGGGCTTACGTGCAGGTTAGGCTTCTGCACTGGGCGTTAGCCTCTGCTGTGGGCCTGCAGACAGTCCCCGCGTCGGTCAGAGACCAGTGGTCTGTCCCCAGAGGCAGCAGACCCTTCCTCAAAGCCAGCCAAACAAGGACTTTCCCTGGCTCCTGTCCCACGAGCCTGGGGTGCACCTTAGTCTGAGGGAGACAAGCCTGTGGGGCTTCCTCACTTCAGTTTTGCTGCAGTAACTGCTGTGCCCCAGGCACTGTGAGGAAGAAGGCGTAGTTCAGACAAAGCACAGGGGCTCCGTCTGCAGGGACCATGGGGCGGGGCCATGGGGCGTGACTGTTCAGTAGCTGATGGTGTTCCTGGCGCTCTGTTTGTCTGTCTGTCCTTTAGTGCAGTTTGGCTCTGCCTCATGTGACATTCGTTAATTACTTTGTTTCCAAAACAAAATTGGAAACAACTGCACCCAGGACCTCGCCGGGACCCTGGGCGGCTGCCAGGGCTCCTTCTCTGTTGAACCTGATCTCGTGGCGGCTCTTCAGGGCTCATCAAAGGCCCTGTTTCTGCTGCTTCAAGAGCTCCCGGCCCCTCAGATCCGGAGCTGGTAGAGAGCACAGACCTGCCCACCCAGGCCACTGCTGAGGGAGGGGAGGGGACCCATGGGCACGGAGAGCTGTGTCTGAGCTGAGCAAATAGGCTCCTGCCACAGCAGCTGGGAATTCTGAACGCGGCTCGAGGTTCCTGAGGGCCTCAGGGAGGTGACAGATGTGTCTAAGGTCCTCGCTGACAGTTAGCTACTTACCTGGTCCCAGAGCGTGGGCTCTTCCCACCGTCCTGCAGTGACCATCTCCGTCCCCGGAGCCCCCCCTCCTCAGGTTGCCCCGTGGACCAGGAGACGTGTGCAGGTTGCACAGGATGGGGACTCATCGTGCTGGTGCTAACACACTCACACTAACACGAACAATAGCTGGTTGGTCCAGCGTGGGCTCTGTCCACCTGCTCAATAGAAAGACCTTTTCAAGTCGAGAGTGTGCAGCGGCTGTTATCTTCCTAAGGAAGCACCGCGCTCCCGCCCAGGGGTATGGTTCCCTGATGGTAGAGACCTCCTCTGCTTCTGTCACCTGTGTCCGCTGTGCCTGGCACATAGGAGGTGCTCACTAAACCCTCGATCGTGCTTAGGGTGGCTGTGGACTCCCCCAAGGCGAGCCCAGGCCGTGCATCCACCACTGTTTCCCAGCCGAGGACGGTGCTGGCTGCAGGAGGCGCTCAATGAACAGGTTCTCAAAACTGGAGCTCCCGCCGCTCAGGAGAGCCTGTTGGGGCTTTGCAGCTGGACAGGGTTAGCAGTAACACGCTTCAGGTTTTTTCCTTTGGTGTTTCTTAGATTATACTTTTTTTCTCTCTACTGTGTGAAAAGGTGCTGTTTTCCTTTCTGCCAAATCAACAAAGAGTGTGTTTTGGTGCAGAATTAGCCGGCACCAACGTGGCACCCAGCAGAAGCCGGGAGCCCTGGGCACGGCCATCCTGTAAGCACTTGGCAGCTGGTGGGATAAAGACTCCAGTGCATGACCCCCACCCCCACGCCCCAGGAGCTGCCTGCCGTGCAGGAAAGAGGACCAGCAGCCCTAATAATCAGCCTGATGAGGATAACATAGGCGCTCAGAGAATCACCTCTTTTATCTAAGAGACACAATATGCTGTTTAACAAATGGGTCAGGAATGTAAAAGCGACAGGGATGACACGGGTCTGGCTTTTGGTGGGTCCTTCTTTGAGGCCAGTCCGAGTCCTCTGTGGGCCCCCACTAATGCCTTCTCTCCCCCTTCCTTTTGCATTCATTCAGCATGATCTACACTTTAGTGAGCTCTTAACTCAAAGACCACGCGCGTCATCAGACTGGATGGGAGTGAGCCCAGGCTGAGAAGTCACTTCTGCGGGCCACTGGAGAAGGGACCAGAGGGATGCGCGAGAAGGAGACCTGCAGACACCGGCTGCACCAGACTGGGACCGGGCGGAAGCCGGGGCCGAATTAACTGCGAACGTGTTCACTGCCCCGTGTACCCCAGGCTGCACGCTCACTGACGGCTGCACTCGGGATGTAGCTCCCTTCTGGGCAGCGGGGCTCAGGGCAGCTCCTGAGCTGGAATTGCTGCTTCCTGAGTCCACTCACCAAACAACTCCCACAGGGTCACTCTGCTTTTCTGGACCGTGGGAGCAGGTGCTGGAAGGCTGGACGGTGCCTGCTAAGGGACAGAATGACCCAGAGTCGAGGCTGAGTGTTTGGGACCCATTGCAGGCCTCAAGGATGTGGGCTGCCCAAGGCCCTCAAGTCTCATCCATGCCATGGTCATGCCCTTCGCCTCACCCAAGGGTCTGGAAGGTGTGCGATCGCCTTCAGCTGTGACCGACCTTGACCTGCGGGGGCGTCTGTGTTCATGGCTTGTTCCATGAGAGCCCAGCTTAGGGACATCTTGAGCTGGGTTTGGGGCAATATGTTAGCAATAAGTTAAGCCCAAAGTCGTGGATGTGGGTGTGGGCCGGGAAGAGGGACTCATAGGGAAAAATGATTTAAAAAAACATTTACTACACATTCAAGGTGTGACCACACAAAGCCATCACGGGGTCATCAACTGCAAATTCACGGGCCAGCACCCATCAAAGCTTTGTTGTTTTCGGAACCCCCAAGTGTTCTAAGACCAGAAAACGCGAGTGGCTGCTCTGAACTGTGGGCATTTGGCAGTTAGGAAATGAGACAACATAATTACAGCTTCATTTTATGACGCTGCGTCGTTCGTACTGTCTAGTTCAACACGAGGATGCTCGCTCATTTAGAATTTTCCATATGACATTCTCTCCTTTTTGAGTAGGAGTTGTGCTGGGAGGTTGTAAATAATGAAAAGGCTGGGACTTTTATGATGTTCAAACTGGGCACAATGATTTCTGACCTTCTTCCCCCAAGTTCCCTTCTTTTCTTCTGTTAAACACACACACAGGCTATTGTCCATGTAGCCAGCTCCCTCCTGAACCCTGGGACTCAGGCTTATGAATGGTGTTTGTGTAACGTGCCGTGTGCTATGTTTAAAGCACAGTGACAACTTGAGTGTCTCGCCTACCTGGCTGTCTCATTTAAACCTCATTACTGGATGGATTTGTCTCCATATGGTTGGTAAACGGGTAGGTAGAAAAAGGCAAAGTTGCAAAAAGGCGTTTTGCTGCTAAAAATTTTGCAGAAAACAAAATACAGACTTTGCTTTTAGGCTGAAGATATAAAACGGGAGAATTAGAGGTGGCATTTCTGGGAGCAGGCTTCCCCTCGGCCAGTCCCCGTGGGCCCGGCTGGTACGTGTGGTTGGCCTTGTGGCCGCTGGTCCTGAGAGGACCGCCACCTTCGTCCTCGACATGAACCCTGTCCAGGCTGCCGACAGCAGATCTGGCCCCTCAGCCATCACAAATACCACTGAGCAGAGCGGGTATATGGCCCAAGTTCACTCTCAGCATGGGGCTATTTTAGTTTTAAACTTTGCCTCCTTCCAGAAAGATTTGAAGTAGCTTATAATAGCAGACACCAGTACACAGGACCATTAAAATGGAAATGGGAACTTATAAAGAAGGAGGACCCAGAGGTACCGACTTCCTGAGATACTCAATTTACATGATTGAGCATTAAATTCGACATTTTTCTTAGCAGTAAGTAATAGCAATTCACATCTACACAGTGCTTACCCTTTTTAAAAAAATCCTCACCTGAGGACGTTTTCCCATTTTTTGTTCAGATAGAGTGGGAGGGAGAGAGAGGAAGAGAGAAACATCAACGTGAAAGGGACACATCGAGTGGCCGCCTCCCGCATGACCCCAACCAGGGCCGGGGACCGATTGCAACTGGGGTATGTGCCCTTGACTGGAATCGAACCCGCGACTCATTGGTCCGCGGGCCGACGCTCTAACCGTTGAGCCAAACCAGCCAGGGCCAGTGCTTAACATTGTACACATTGCTCTCACATCTTCTCATTTGACCCTCCTCATGAATCCTATGAAGTTGATACTAGTCTTTCCCTCTAAGTGAGCCAGCCAAAGCCCAGAGAGGGTAAGTGACTTACCTATGGTCACACAGCAGTCACAAACTTGCCTTTGAAGCCAAGCCGTATGACTTTAAAAACCCCATGTCCTTCTCATCACGCCCGAAAGCCGGTGGAGTAGCTTAAGGCTTGGTTGATAACGTTAACTTCTTGAGAAGAGATTTTAAAAACAGAGCTGTAGCCGAAGGGCCTGCTGGTCTTCCCCCTCGTGCAGCGGCTCAGACTTGCTTTACTGTGGGAGGCTCTTTTCTAAGGTGGTCCTTTGAAGGCTTTTTAAAAAGCTGCAAGTCAGTGCTTATGTTTCTGAAAGAAAAACATCAAATGTTTCCCTCCCACAAGTTGTGCTGGGGAAAAAAACAAAAACCCAAGTAGTTGGTTGGGAGTTTGAGCCAATTTTCAGTTCCTGGGAAGCTCACCGTGATGATAAGAGTAAGAGTAATGGGCCCTGGCCGGTTTGGCTCAGCGGTTAGAGCATCGGCCTGCAGACCAGAGAGACCCGGGTTCGGTTCCTGCTAAGGGCACGTACCTCGGTTGCAGTTTGTCCCCGGCGCCGGTTGGGGTCGTGTGGGTGGCAACCAGTCAGTGTGTCTCTCTTACATCAATGTTTCTCTCTTTCTCTTCCCCCCTCTCTCCCTCCAGCTCTATCTGAAGATAAATGCAAAAATGTCCTCAGATGAGGATAAAAAATAAATAAATAATAAAAATAAAAAGAGTAAGAGTAATGGGTGCAGTTGGCAGAGCCCATGTCGTGTGTTGGACGCTGTGCCGAGTGGGTTATGCCAGGGCACCCCCAGCCTCACAGTGATCCCACCAAGCAGGCTGTTCTCACCCCTACTTTACAGATGAGCAGACCAAGGAGGCTCGGGGCGGGTGCGGTCTCCCTAGGTGACCTAGCCTAGTACGCTCGGTGCTACCAACAGGAGGCCAGTGGTAAAGTAGCTATATACTGAGAGGTCAGGCACTATTCTGTATACCTCATGTGCTTTTGTCCGGTCCTCGTAACAATCCATGAGGCCCATATGGCGTCTGTTCCAGATGAGGAAACGTCTGAACAGAGATCCGCTGCGAGTCGGGGTGAGATTTACACCCAGGACTACTTCCCCCGTGATTTCACCTGCTCGAACAGCTGTATCTCTCACTGTTTGTCGCACGGAAATGACCAAAGGGAGCAGGAGAGCGAGGCAGGAGCAATGGCCCCATGGATGAGTCCCGCAGGGAATGGTACCCTTGGGGGACACTTGCCCCTCCCGAGCATAAGTCTGGGCATCAAGGAGAGGGTTTCTCGGGGCTCAGATGGCACGTGAGGTGGTGGTGGTGGACCTGGTGTCTTCTCCCTGAGGGAGGAGACCTCTAGGCCTGGCACGTTGTGTCCAGGAGCCAGAGCAGGGCCTGGGAGCGTCACTGAAGCTTACCTTTCCCTTGGCTAAGTGACGTGGATGGTGGCACCCACTGCACTGCCTTGATATTTAGAGATGAGTTCATGTTTGCCAAGAGCTTCGAAGAGGGCCCCGCACATGGTGAGTACTCCCTAGCTCTTTGTAGGGGTAAGTTCTCCTCGCCATCTTTCCTGTGCCCTGTGCCCATCCAGGGCAAGGGCCAGCGAAGGGAGGGAAGGTCCTGGACCAGCCGGGCTCCCGATGCCTCGCCCCATCCACGGTATGCTGAGCCACGGTCAGACTAGGACCCGAGACCTCTCAGTGCCATGTTCTCTAGCCAATACGATCACAACTGCGGGGCCAGGCTCTGTGTGAAGCATAGGACACGCGTGTTCTCATTTAATCCCCACAACGTGAGGAAGTAGGAACTATGACTGTCCCCAGTTTACAGCCGAGATCCTAACGGTTACAGATTTGAACGAAGGAGCCAAGGTCACAGTTCCTAGTAAGTCATGGAGCCTGGGCGACAGCCAAAGCCTTTTGTCCTCCCGAGAGGGTGAGACGGTACAGGGGTGTGGGACAGGAGAGAGCAGGGAGGAAAAGCAGCAAGATCTTGGGCAAGCTTCTCAGACCCGCTTCCCCAGCTCTGAAATGGGGGTGACGAGATCTGCCCTTCGTGCGTGGTTGTGATCATTAGAGTAACTCGGCACGGCTGCTCAGCAAATCTCCCCTCCGCCCACCGAGTTAAAGGGGGGTGTGCAGGAGACAGCGGTAAACCACCTCTCATAGTAACACACGCGGGTTCAGTGACTCCCAGCTTCCTTCCTCCCGCCCTCGAGCCTCGGAGCAGACTGTCCCGGACTGAGACACGGGAACAGAGTTCTCCGTCGCTTCCTATTTTTAGGCTTGGTAATTGCACCGACACTGAATAAAGTTGTCACCATTATGACAGTTTTGTTCTCCTGCACAGAGATGAATGCAGCCAGCAAAGTGCTTTGACAACAGTTAATTGCGCTCACGCTGTGTCATCGCACAGATCCGGTTCCGAGCCCTTTCTCCCCTCGGACTCAGGCCGCTCGGCTGCAAAACGTGCTCGGGCAGGTGAAATCCGGGTCTCGGGGCTGCCTCTGCTCCCGAGGCTCAGGCAGAAAGCTGTCGTTACTGTGGGTGTTGGGGGAGGCCCGGACTGTGCCCTGTGCCTGTCTCATCCCAGGCAGAGGGGTGGTTCTTTGGGACACAACCCGGCATTCCTAGGGAGAGATGGGGACGTGTCTCAGCTTCACGCTGGCTAGAACAGGGAGCAGAGTGTCCTGTTGCCAGGGGCTCTGCATTGATGGACGTCTTGCACAGCCGCCTCTGTAGAGGGAAAAGAGCCGAGTACTAACACCTTGGCTGGGAATTCCATTGCTCCCCCTGATCCGGTGACAGAAACGGGATCCACACACCACAACGTAGTATCTTCCAGCCTTTGTCCCAGCCTCTCTATGACCATCTCTGCTCCTGTTGAATCTGCCCAGATAGCTCTAGATGCCCCAAGCGTGTCTTCCTGTTCTGTGAACGTGACCTCAGACACCACGTGACGCCCACATTTCCTTCCTTCCCAGCGAGTGGTACACTAGCTGGCGTCCACAGGCTTGTGAGAGCCAACTGTTAAATTTTTGAGGGATTTCGCTAAACAGTTGTTAAACACAGCCACTATTAAAACTGGTTCTGTAAGCTTACAATTAAATAAATTATATTAAAAGCAAAGGTAATATATAGTCAAAATGTATCACCTCCTAATTATTTTACCATCTTTGACCATCATCTATGTTCTCAAGGTTATGTCTGTTGCGTCTGTGGCGGAAATGCCACACGACAGCACTTGACTGTGTGGCTTTCCCTTCTTTGTGTTCAGTGATGTTCAATTAGTAGCTTGAAACTGGCTACAGCGGGAGTATCTACACCACAGCAATTGGCAAACACGGCGGATTAGTTCCCTCCTTCGCCTTCACCGCCCCCTTCTCTCTCCAGTGCTGCTTGTTAACCATTTACTAGTTCTGACATTTCAGATTTACTAGCACACACTGCCCTAGCTCCGGCACATGGCATGGCCACAC